TGTGCGCGTCAACGGGCAACACGCGCTGTGTAATTAAAACCCTGGCGAACATTTGAAAAAGGGATTTAATGAGCTGTCAGGTCTCATCAATTTGGAAGGGTTGTTGCAAGGCCCAAAGCTGGCTTTTCTGAAGAAAAAGGAGTGGGGTGCATTGGGATCCGGCTGTGCACAAAATACTTTGTGGTCTGCTCATGTGGTTTGTAGAAGCATCGGATTTTTAATGGATATTTCATGTGACATTTACAGACAGAAGGCACCACTTCCTTAAGTATAGCTATGTGAAAGTACCAGCACTACAAGGTGTGAAAGTTAGACAGAGATTTTAATTAAAAAATCCCCCCAAACCTTTATTTTGTTCCTTCTTTTCTAATTTATTTCCCAAATGAAAGAGGGAAGTACCTAAACCTTATGTGCCGACAGAGGAGGAAAGAAGACTCCTCAAGGAGTGTGCTGAAGAGAGTGCCCGGTATAGAGGTAAGTTCGGTTTGCTGGTAAACTTGGTGTGCTTTTCTTCCACCCTTAGTTTTTCTTGTTATCTCAGGCGTTAAGGAAGGAAGGCCCGGGCCGATATATCACAACAGTTCATTACAGGCTTCACATGGTCTAAAATTGTATTCTAGTAAATGTTGATCCATGTAGGATTTACATTTATTAGCAGTTTGCAGGACAGGAATTTTGTAAAAGGTGCAACGTAATTTGTAAGATTTGTGCTTTATAGCAAGATCCCTTGATATTTTAAATTAATATGCTTATTAAAAGTCCGAAAATAGGTATAATTAATGGAGTCTCTTATTTATGTTTCTGAATATTTGTGGGGTTTTGTTATTTCTACATGTTTTTCTGTTATTTCTGCTTTTTTGTTTTTAGTTTTTGTTGTCATCTTTAGAATGTGAGAATAAAATAGTTTAACTTAGAACCATTGCTTTCTGCCTTTATGGAGACTTGTGAAGAGAATGTGTAAGTAGTTGCTCAGCTTAATTTTTAGAGAAAATTTCTGTGGCTGTGCATGGCCAGACGTTTGGGCACTTTTCCCCTGTAAATAAAAGCCAAGATTCTCAAACAGGATTCTGCAGTCAGGAATGACTTCTGTACTACAGCTAGTATACAGGAATAATAAACTTGCATTGGTTTCACAGAATAATTTTTGTCTCAATTTATTTGAAATAGCAGTGTTATGTTGTTTGGGGTTATTTTTTTCACAAAACATTGAAAATTGATGGCATTACTTCCTAATGTTGTTCCTGTAATCCAAAGGTTTCGAGGCATACCTGTTTTTAATACACTTGATCAAGAGGTTTGAACGAGCCTTCTGGTGTGATCGTTACCCACTGTTTTATCACACACTGGTAGATTACTCCAGATGCTGATAGGTAGTTTTGCAGAAATCAGGAAAGGTGAAGAATTTAGCAGCTCATTTGCTAAATTTAGCACACTGGGGCTCTGATTTCTCCTGGAAGCCAGTACTTTCGGGGCAACTTAGAAAGCATTGTGATTTTGAACTAATGATTCAAAGTTGCTTTGGCATTCTCATCTCCACTCTTATTCAAATACCTGGACCCCTTCGGCTTGTCTGCTAAAATCTAGCCATTTTCCTTGTAGTCTTGTACGTGAAAAGAGTCATGTTCCTCAGCAACAAGATGGCGATTGGTTATGGCTTACTGATAATCTCTCTTCCGGAAGACAAGAGGGGAGGGAGTTGTTTGTTCTTCTTGAGTTGTTCTGCTGTGAGTTCTTGGTTGGTAGCGTAACTTACTGCCTTGCACGTCTTTACGCAGAGACTGAAGAAACAACACAAAGGTGCTGTTGAGAAGCCCCAAATTGAGTAATTTCGCTTTAGGGAGCTCCAACAGTAATTGAGAGATTTTTTTCAGGGGTTGTGTACTGTGCTGCTGTCTCGCTGGGAGAGCCTAAAGCCCGTCACTGTTTTCCGGGTTTCCCGTCTTTATTCCGTTGTCCTGCGTTACATGTACCTGGATTGTTGTATTTGCTGTATTAATACAAATTGTTTGAACACGCCTTTGCAAGAGGTATGGGCTGCCCCAGTATCCTCACTTCTTACTGTATCAGTTCATTACTCACAGTTAGTACTATATATTCGTGTCTTTTCAGTTTATTTATTCAAATGTCAAGCTGTAGCCAATTTTTACCTGTTCGTATGAACCCTGTTTTGCTGTAGTTTCTATTGACAGGTTCTATTTCACAAATGCTTGCTAGTCATTTTGTAATTCAGTCCGATATACGCTTTACTGGTATTCCTAATTTTTAATCACATTGTCATATAATATAAAGTCTAATACTGTTGAAAATTCACACTACAATCTACAATTTATTCTTCACACTTTTAATCTCGCTAACAAAATCAAACTAGAGCAATACGACCTTTTCCCCATAAAACCTTTTTGACTAGGGTACATTACATTCGCATCCTTGATTATGTGCTGTTGATCTATCAGCCTTCCATTATTTTGCCTAGGATTTATTTTGTTCTTGAAGCAGAAAAAGTACTTTTTTCCCACAGCAGTGGTAAGCGCGGGTATTTTCTGAATATGGAGCTGCTTGTTTTTCCTACACTTGAATAATTATTCATATTAATTTCTATGTGTGAACTCAGTTTTCATTTACCTGTTATTCTTTTAATTTCTTGTTACCATTTCAGGTCATTTACATGCTCACATACTAGCAGCTGTTTCCACTGAAGTGCATAACCAGTCTTTGATGCCCATAAATAATTTCAGACCTGTAAGGGTTAGACTCTGTAATAAGTTATTTCGTATTTCTTTTTAACAGCCCTCCCCCCCATTTTTTTCTCTTTTACAGTTTAGCTTCAAATCTGCACTGCCATTCTGTATGTTAGAAAATCTGGAACTCTAAATTTTTGAAAATCTGTGTCTAGAATCTCTAAAAGCATCACAGTTTTAATCTTTAATAGAGCGGAATATTTTATTCTCTATTTTGAAATGTTACCGTAATCTTGCTGGGAACCAAGGAGCCAATACTTTTTCTTAAAAGTGACATCCAGCATCCAGTCATATTTACCCTAAAATGCTAGTTGGACTCCTAACCTAGCTTAGACCCATGAGAATTTGTGAAGGAATAAACTGTTAGTTTGCGAAGTATACTTCAATGCTGTGCTGTCCACATCCTAAAAAAAAAACCAAACCAACATTTATCTTCAAATATGGACTTAATTAGCAGATTGTGTGCATCAAAACACTGTGAACATCTAGTGCTGTTGCAAATATTTCCCCCCCGCCCCCCAGGTAAAGTCATTGAGCCTTTTTGTAGTATCTGCATTTTCAGACTTGCATAAAATGTAATTTCATTATGACACATCTAAATCTTTAATGTAATTAGCTTTAGTCTTCTGTCATGTTCGTTATTTCAGTGTCACTGTATCTTGTGTAGGGGTGGTGGTCTTTACGAATAGTTTCAAAGTTACTCTTCCCAATATCACCATTATCATTGCTTGAAAAAAGCATTTGTGTTTTTCTTCAAATGCTTCTTGCCACCTGAAGTCTTTCAATATAATAAAATCATCGTGAACTGTTAAGGTGATTGCGATAGGCGATGATGCTTTTCCATGTTTGTCGTCTTCTCTGCGTTCCTGACCCTACCCGAGTTGATACAGTTCAATCCATAAGCTACAGAAAAGGCTGCCCCGTTCTTTAATTTGCTGGTGAATAAAACATGTTACCTAATGTTAATCAATTTGATTTATACCTCTGTGAGTTAGACTGACTTTTTCCAAAGTTCTCATGTTAAAACAAAATGAAGACTTTTAGTTATCAAAAATTCCTAGAGGCACTGGCCTCTCTGTAACTGCCACCTGTCCTGAAGAACTGTGTGCGCTCCTCTGGTTTGAAATTCTGCACCTTGGTGCTGTAGCAGTTCAGCTAGACCTGGGGCCTTGTCCTTAGAGCTTTATCCCATCTGCTGTGGGCTTGTGTATTTTAGGAAGCATGAAGTCTCGTGAAGACAGGATGACTCATGATCCTGTACCACGTAACTTGTAGTAAGTCTTAAAAACTGGAATTGAGAATGTCTCATAATTGATGAATACAGTTTGTTAATTATATATATAATGTATACGCTTTTATTCTTACACAAATGAGCTTAGTAAGGCCTAGAACTCTCGTTGCATATTTTGTTAAATATGGTTGAAAACACTGAAAGTCATATTTTAAGCAACTTTTCTTCTTCTTCACAGCTTTTCCTTTGGCTGCCGTGAGCATGCTTGCTACTAGTTTCTTAATTAGGAAAGGTAAAGTATAAACATACTTTGAGTTAAATTGGATTTGCTTAGCTAAGATATATTTCTGATGTTAATAAAGTTACTGTAATAAAATAATGTCTAATCTCCTTGTAATTAAAATGGTTCAGAATCTTCAGCTACATGACTGGCAGTTCCTAAAACTAAAAGGAGCAAAATTTTAAATTAAAATCAAATTCATGTTCATTTTATGTTGTTTGACAAATACCCTATCTCAGTGATTATGAAACAGTGTATTCTATAGTGTGTAATAATACTGTGTGTGATATGACTAAAGAGGTAATTCTCAGGTTTTTATAATTTTATGGGAAATTCAGATGTTAGTTTTTCTTGAATTTTCTTCAACATTAAGTGTAGAAGAGTCACCTGCTGCCTACAAACATAGTTACAACTAACATACAAACATAACTACAGTTGGTGTTTTTCAGCCTAATTCTTAATGACTTATTAGTAATTACTTTGATCCTCATTTTCAGGTGTTATAAGAGACAGCTCAAGATTTGGCTCTTTTATGAAAGTTGCATGTAAGTAAAAGCTCCATATGAGTTCAGCTTGTACTCGTGCCTCAGGTGCTGGAGTCTGTTACGCAGATGTAATTCCCATGAGACTGGCTGGCTGGTTCACTGTGACTCTACCCTATGCTTGCTGTGCTACAGCTGTGCCTGAAGATGGGAGAAAATGATCTGATATATCAATTAATAAGTTTCACCTTCCTGCAGTTCATTCTATCAGTCAGCAACCTTTAGTTATGTTTCTTAACTAACTTGTACCACGAGAACCCATTCAATGGCAAGAGGTAGAGCATTTAACTTATTCACCATCCTTGAATTTGTGCAGCACGTTTTGGACAAGTTTTGTTTATAGGCTTTCCATAAAGTTGCTTGACAAGCGTAATATGATAATTTAAGATAAAAACATTGTGAATAGATACTGTACAAGCTTACTTCAAATTACTTTGCCAGAGTACACCCACCCCTCCCTTCCTAATTTGAAGGTCTTTATTCATGCATCTTAGTTGTCAGGCTATTTTAGTGCCTTTTTTTCCTGGACATTATGTATGTACAATTGTAGGAAAACAGCAATTTCATATGAATGATTTTGGATTAAGTATAATCAAAAATAAATTAATAAATTAACCTTTTCAATGTAATACATGACAGTAAACCAGGAAGTTGCCATCTTGCCAATCTGCCCAGATACAGCCAATTACTCTTACAGTTTACTTCAGTGGCAAGAGGGAAAAACCCATGATTTGTGGTGAAGGAAGTGTTGTTCAAGCAGATAAATGAATGTGAGACTAGGGCTGCTATTTGTTTATGCCAAATTCTACTTGCTTTCTTTGAATGCCAAACACTGGTATAACACAGATGTTTCTAATAAATAATAGAATTACTATTTCCGTGATTGCTCCGACACTTTTCTAGTTAAGGGCCATGTTCTTCCTATTTATTAGAACTAAGTTTTGAAATCAAGGGAAGAAATAGGAGCAGCTGGACTGGACCAGCTATTCTTGATGTTAAGATTGCAAGCCAAAATAGGTCTGGCTTCTCCTTTTTGATGTACACTGGAGGCATATGGACTTTCATTTCATTCTAAAATAATTTTCTATGAAGTGTGTTTTGGTTGTTTTTCAGTAGGTGACTTCGTGTGATTTATGTGTATTTTAAATGCGGGGATTTTTCTGGGACAGCTGGAGTGTGAAAAGCCTGAGTTAAGCAGTTTTCGTTTCATCCTTATAGTGCTTAGGTCATATGCGCCTGCTGTCTACAGGATCTTCCTGAAAACTATTGCCAGGGACATAGTTTACCGGTCCAAATTACGTCTCGTAATTTGACTGCACATTCCGCCTGCAGTGAAATCTCATTAACGGAGCAGTGCAGTTGTGTTTTGGTTTGGGTTTTTTCCTCTGAGTTCTGAAAGAAGAGCATGTGCAGTCCCAGGCACTGCTGCTAGCTCACAGCGAGCTGATGTTAAACAGCAGCAAGTCAGGTCAAGGTACTTCTTGCTTTTCTGGTGTCACTGGTTTGAGCATGCTGCTGCTGCATTTGTCAGTTACAATAGACTGTCTTTGATAATGGTGTCTGTCACTTGTGGTTGTTAGATTCTTTTTCTGAAGAGTAACTATGCCTGATTACAGGAATTGGTCTTTTACTATTTAACTAATGTAGTCGAGTCAGATCTTTTTTTATTTTTTAGTCTCCATCTTACATTTTTCCCTGCTTTGCCCCTCTATTTTAATCTGGAAGTTGAGAGGTGTTTCATTTTCTAGACAGGAATTTTCAGATGCCAGGATGTTCTTGCTCCCATAGGAATTACTCGTAACTTTTCTTGGTAATCTTCTAGGCACTCTGACGATTTAATGGAACTTCTAGTTAGTCACCACTGGTATATTACATTGACACCGTCCCCTTCAACAGGGCATAAAGCTATTGGTCCTCTATCCCTCTCTGGCAAAGCAGGGCGAGATCCGTATGTCCTACTTCATGTCAGCCTGCAGTGGGACCTGGCCTCTTTGATCCATCTATGTCCAGCTTCTCTAAGGTCTTGTCACAATGTCACAGAAGCAGGGGGCAACAATTAATCTAACCTACTGTGCTAACTTCAGAAATGTGGGTCGTCTGGCAGTTAGTTCTGTAATAAGAAAACCCAAATATTTTAGCCAACAATTACTTTGGGTGAAACATCTTCCAGAGAGATGCTTCTGCTTTTCTTGACTGGAAGGCCTCAAGAAAGGGAGACCTTCTCTTTGTAGTTTATGCTAAAGATTAACCACCTTTGCTGCTTAGCTTTGTTTTGCTAAGTATTTAGTTTGAATTCTTGTTGGGACGTTTTTCCTTTTAGGGGTTTATAATTTTTCCCTTTGTGGATATTTATGGCATTTGAGGTGTCTTCCCATTTTTTTTTTTTTGACTTGCTAAACAGCTAACCCCTGATATTTCTCACTTGTAAACTTAACTCATAGCTGTGTCTGTTTTCTCTTTTTGCTTGGAACCCCCTTTTAACCTCCTGTTGAAAATACAGACATTAGAACAGGAATCACAATTTCAATACCGGTACATCAGGGTAGGTTAAAATCTCCTTTTATGTTGATTCCCAGGCAATGTAATCTACAGTGTGAGGACCTCAGAGGATTAATGTTACTGGTAATTAACTCTCTGACTTAAAGATGATTGAGAGTCTTTAGTATTTGTATTTAGAAAATACTTGCTGCATATGAAAAGAAAGGTCTAGTCCTTTTCTCCTACAAAGTCAACGACAAAACTTCTATTAATTGCCATTTAATCCTTCATGCTCCTTCATACTCTGTTTGACCCACTCATAAAACTTGAAGGAGCCAGTTTATGGAAAGAACTATGATTGTTTATTCTTATGCCCTGTCTAGCAGGTGAAAATAGCTTTTGCATTAAGTTGAAAGCATTTGCCTAGTGATTGTGTAGGTTCAGATAATTAATTCAGTTGTTTGCCCTCCAGCAACCATATTATAGAATCATCTTCAGAAGATACCGAGCCTAATGCTAAATTTAAGACTTCTCTTCATACTAGTTAAAGCCTTTTCAAGATCTGACTATTCTGACTGATTAAATTGGCAGAATTTACTACCTTTGTTTATTCCTGTTTTATCCTCTTTGATAGTTAACTGTTAGTTCTGGATCTTGGTAAAAACTGATTGCAATTATATTCCTTTTTTTTTGTCACCTTTCACTCATCAAGTACTGGCTGAAATCATCTGGTGCTCATGCCATGTCTAAATCATTGCTCTATGTCTCTGTTCAGCTGTTACATTTGTTTTTAGTGCCTTTTGTCTGCAGAAGAAGCAGAGAGGGAGGATTGCTGCATGTTTAGATCTAAACCGGCTTTTTTCTTTTATTCAAGATACTGTATAATTTATTTGAAATTATTATTTTTAAACTGTGTTGAATATTATGATACAGCATATAAACCCATCTTTTTTCTTTTAAAAAAAGTTGCTGGAACGTGTGGATACCTGGCTGGAAAGATATCCTACTTGCCAATCTGTAGCGAGAAATTTAAGAAACTGAAGGATTCCCCAATAGGAGATGTTCTACGACAAGCTCAGAGACATAGTTCACATAAGTAAGAATATAATTATCTTTTAAATTTAAAACTTATTCTTAAATAGGACATTTTAGACACTTAACAGATCAAGGCTACATTTGCAGCTTTCGAAGGCCTTCAGAGCTGCACCTTCCCTCTTTCCCCTGTTACCCCAAATCTACCACTTTCAGGAAGCTGTATCTGTATCAGCTGGCCAGCTATAAAACACACATTTTGAGCTCTTTACATACATCTGATCGCTCTGAGGAGTAGGAAAAGAAACATTTTACTTAGCAAAGTGTATTCCTTGTAAATTAAGATGATGTTTTCCCGTGGAATTTACTTACAGCAGTGTGACAGCAGAAGTTGCCTCCTTAGTTTAGAAGTAAACTAAGTTAACTGAAATAAAGTCATGTTACATTCTGGAAGTTTTTCCCATAGTTTAGTTTGATTGAAGTAGGAAGAGGGTGGAAATGATTTCAGTGTTTATCAAAGGAAAGCGCTCGGTAAACAATATCACTGCAGGAAGAAGCATGGTGGTCAAACTGACTGCTGTTTGTTTAAATCCTTTACATCTGTAACTGCATTATTCTGTACATATGAGAAACTCATCAGGTTCTTAAAACTATTTCCTGTTTTGTTCCAAAATGTATTCTACCTCCAGTGGTTTTTGATTGCAGACTACTTTTGGAATATTTCACTTCAACCCTTGATTCAAAACTGGGAGAATAAGTTTGGGTTTGAGTAGTAGTAGTGAGTAGTTTGTTTGGGTAGTGAGTAGTAGTCGTGCTATGTATGTGCTTAGATTTGTTAAATGTTTATAAAGGATTTGATGAAATTTGCACTTTCTAAATTCAGATTTATGACAGTTTTGTCTGCAAGATTGACCTTTATTCTGAAATGTTTACATTTTTATGGCGTCAAACATACTTTTAGGACTTACCATTTTATACGTTTACTGTATAAACTCAGCTAAATTGGAGCTGGACTTGGCCTTTCACCCCTCTCCAGCTTCTAATAAGGAATGATTGTGATGGTTAGCTGTGTTTACTCCAGGTGAGAAGCTGTTTAAATGCCATCACCTGCTGCACCAGTAAATCCCTTCAACCTTTAATGACCCATTCTTTTGTATCTCTAAGTGTGCCAAGTGATAAATTTCTTTTTCTTTTTGGGGTGGTTTTTTGTTTTGTTTTGTTTTGTTTTTCCTGGTTGCATGATTAATTTAAATTAATTCAGACTGCATTATTGTCCATACAGGCTGCTCTTTTAAGCCAGCAACAGAAATCATTACATTTTCATGGTCATTGTCCATCTACTAATTGCTATATTTTGGTAATTCTGATTTGCAGTTAAAAATAGGTAGGGAGCTAAAATAGTTCTTTAAAGCTGCGTTTGCATATACTTTAAAAATATAATTGAGGCAATAAAATGGCTTAGCTCTGTATGTTTATTGTGAGCATAAAACAAAGACTAAGTGCAATTGTTTTTCATATGAAACTAAAAGTACAGCTACACAGAAATTTAAAGTAAAAAATTACTAAGTACTCCAGAGACATTCCAGTGGCACCAGGTGGTGGCATTCTCGATGTAGAGACATGTTGTGCAGTGGTTTGCCAGGGCCATTCTGAGTATGTAGCAAATATTTTAGAATATTGGGCATCAGTTTCCAGAATATTCTTTATATGATCTTACCTTTCTCTCTAAGAGAACATTCCTTAATATTTCCGCTGAATTCAGCAACTCAATCAACCTTCATAATTTCATTTCCCCAAGATGGCTCTTCATTCTCCTTTTCTTCTGCTGTTCAGTATTGATCAGTTACAGCAACTTCTAATGATGAAAGGGGTTTTAATTGCAAATTCTTCCTAAAAGGCCTTTAGAAATAACTATAGTTCGTGGGCACACCCTGTACTGTTTGTGGCTGATGTGTTTTTTCTGTCTGAAGACTCCCTGGGGGAAGGGTTTGTCATTTTTGTCTTGTAGAGTGCAGAATGCTTTGTCTCTTTTGTCTGCTGTTCTGGAGATCTTTAGGTATGAGTTAAGTTTCTGGGAGGAAGGGAAGAGTGTTGGGGAAGGGGCTGTCTAGATCTTTTCAACGTAAGGAAAAAAAGGAAAAAACACCCCAGGCTATTTTTTTTAAGACAATAATTCATGTTGGAAACGAAATAATTTAAAATAAAGGAGTATTTACTTGGTCTGCCCATATTGTTGCTCTTACAGTTACTTTTTTAACTTTAGTGTTTCATATTTAATATTTAATTGTTTTGTTTTCCAGCCGTTCCAGTCGGAAATCTGAATTTTCAGAGATGCCTTCTCAGTCATTTACTGAATCTTCTCCAAGAGCTGGATTTCCACTTCCGTCTAGCTATTCAGATGATTATAGTTCAACAGATAGAGCCCTCTCAAGTTATGAACCCGTTCCATTCAGTGCTTCCCTGAATGAGTCTTCGCCTACAGGAATTACTGATTACACTGTTCAAGGTGTGTTTTATCTTCATATTTATCAGTTTGTAGTACAATGGCTCTTGCCTTTCTCTTAGATGCGTCTCTCATTAAACTATGTGTTTTCATCCCATGCAAACATACATGGTACAATATAGTTGTTGTAAATGAAACAGCTTGAAGTTCCCAGAATTGTTTTCACACAGAACTTTATTTTGTGTTCTAAACTAAATTCAGGGTTTTTTCAAGTTTTGTAGCTTTAATTGCAAGTAAAGATCGTAAATTAACTTAGAAGGTGTAATCTGTTGTGAAACTAAACCTGCAAAAAACTCAGCCTGACTCAAATTTCTTTTTGACTGAAATTAAGGTGAATATGCCGTCCTGTGGCTGCACTACCTAAACCATAGTCTCTACCATTTGCCCGCTCGCCTTTCCGAGGTTATTTCATTTTCACTGGCAGTGGTGCTGTAACTGTATACTGCTGTAATTCAGTGACATTAAACTGTTCTTTATAATGTGACAAACACTTAAATCTTCTGAGAACTGAGTGCATATAGTGTTCTGTCTGGCAACAGCTGATTTCCTCACAGAAAACTAAAATGTTTTTCAAGTACTGTTCTGTGCAGCTGTTCCCTCCTTCCAGTGTGAGCTCTATCCTCAGCTATTGCAGGGGAAACACGATTCTGAAATCAGGGCGCTGTGGTACACAAAGGAGGAAGTTGCTGTCAAATGCAGAGTTTCGTACTTTGAATTGGTTTGGGTTTTTTAACTCCTTCATTGAAAAGGTTTTATTTCACAAAAAAGCCCTTTCATGCATCTCTATTTTAGTTACATAAAAGTATTGGATATAAGTGTGTCAAGGAAATTGTAAGTACACTTAATCACAAATATCAATAGTTGGTAGAACCTTGAGTATGGAACCAAGATTCTGCATTATAAATGTAGATAAAATGATAAAATACGTATCAGGTGACATATGATGGATGTAGTCCTAATTCTTTGAAAGCAGAATTTAAAGCCTGCATGCAAACCCTTGAGCTTCACCTAGATTTCTCTTCAGAAATCATAAATAGATCAAATGTATGATTATCATAAATTTTACATAAAGTGACCAGGACTATTTTATCCATAGGACTTCCATTGGGTAAAAGGAAAAAAAGGAGTTAACTGCCAGTCTTCCAGAGCAGTTTGACAAAATGAAAAGGATAAAAGGAATGGATTAATTAAAGTCCACGTACATTGCCAGTTGCATTTAGACTTGCAGCTGTCGTGCTCCTTTGCATTCAGGATTGAGCTGTAGTTCACTGGCATTCTAGGACAGGTTGTAGCCAAGTTTTGGTGTGTGACACCACTTCTAGTATTTTGACGTGCGTTTTGTTTCCAGATCCTGCTCCAATCCCAGAAGAAAGCCGTAAAAAAAAGGGCATCACATATGAGGAATTAAGGAATAAACACAGAGAGACATACGAGGTAATGCTACCACCAAAGGCAGAAACTCCAAGCAAGTTTTCACAGGAAAAAACAGCTAAGGAAGGTAATATACTGATTTACAGAAATACGTAGTAAATTCAGATATTGGCACTGATGTTAAAAATGGTTACAAAGCCAAGGGTTAATTCTGCTTACCCTTTGAGCAATTTATTTTTACTGTATCTGCAGGTGTCTCATATGTGATGTCTGGAGTTTCATATTTCAAATTGATTCTTTTTTTTTCTTTTTTTTTCTTTTTTTTTTTCTTTTTTTCCCAAAGATATTGATCTTCCAATAGCAAATTAGGATTCCTCTTCTCTAGCCATGTTGCTTGGTGCCAGACTGAAAATCTTGCAACTTTTGGCTTATTGAATATATCGGGCAACCTCTTTCAACAAATAATTCTCTGAGCTCAGAGCTATACCGAAGAGTTTTAGCTATGGAAGGGGGTGTATGTTTTAGATAGCATTGTTCTCTCAAAATAGAGCACATGGTTGATGGTTTTGAAGGGGGGGTATTTATTTTTATGAATTGTTTCATGTGGAATTAGTGGATTTCTATAGAGGCATTGTTTGTAGAGGTTCATTTTCTACATTAAAACTCAAAGGAAGGAAACAGTATTTGGCAGCAATATTGAGATTTGTTTTCACAGTGAAAAACAAAGCTTTACACAACAAACTAAGAATGCCATGTCCGGAAGAATAAGCTGCCACTCAGTCAACTTTCTGACTCAATCAATTTTTTGAAAAATTCAGTAGCAATTCATAATTGCTTGCTCTAGAACTTCTTTAATTTAGTGTGGCATCTGTGAAAACTATGTTAGCAAGAGGCATGTTTTACCTTTTAACACGCTGCTGGACTAGTCAGCTTGAATTGTTTGGGTTTGTATGCAGTGCCCAGTCTTGTCGATCATGTTGCAACGAGATCTATAGGAATAGCTAACGTTTCCTGAGGTTATAACGTTAGGAGGCATAACAGGTGGTAATGAGTATAGAAAAGTATATTAAGGCAAAAAGTTCTGAAGCAGTAATAGTAAGCTTTGGACGAGTGTTGCTTAAGAGAAGAGTGTCAGTCTATTTCATGCTTGTGAGTTTCTCCTGATCATCTGTCTTTGGGCAGATCTACAGTCTTGAAATAAAAATTATCAACAATTATTGAGTAATTATTTAAGGATGAAAGCCTTTTTCTCTTATCACATGGCTATGCCAAATGAGACATTAAAAAATTATTGAAGCTATAGTTTCAGATTGCTTCTAAATTCCATCAGGTGACACTTCCTTGATTTACACATTTCTTTTTCAAGATATTTCTTCACAAGTAGAAAGCCTAGAAATGTCGCTTGAAAACCATACAGAGAAAACTTAAGCAACATTCTGCAAGCCTTGCCATACTCCGTGGCAGATCCTGTGGCTGTGAGAATATGCATTAATTATTTTATTTTTAGTTACCTGAGGTCTAGAAAAGACCTCTATCAAATACTGCCCTCTATTTGTGTTCCGTTGGATGGTTATTCAGGCTTGGAGAACAGAACTACGCTGAGCAGCACGTGAAATTTGTAAATAAACTTTTAAGAGCATCTCTTTGTATTTTTAGGGAACAAGAGTAAGGAGGGAATACAAAAATTCAGAAGTGTTTTACAAGTGGAAGTACATATAAATCTACAATTCAGGGATTCTACTGCTGTTGTGGGCTAAGATCTGATTTAGCTTCTTGTGTCGCGCTGGACGTGTTACCTGTTGTGTGCCCGCTCACACGTCCCGAGTCATCCCCCGTTCGTCCTCTCACCTCTGTGTTGTAGGAACCAGACTAGCAAAAGGGAGACAGCGGTTTCTGCCCTCTGTTGCAAGGACATAAGGGGAAACAAACCACGTTTAAGCCAGTTTTAAGCTGTCCCTAACTTCCGTCTGCCGGTGCCTTCTCCGTCCGTTGTAGCCGTACAAATATGTGCACCTGCAGAGTGATCTGGACTGGAGCATTTTCCAGGGAATGAGCCCAGCCTGCTCAGCTGCCGTGGCTGACAGAAACAGAAATCGGGTGGTACTGCGAGAGCGCTGCCCGTTGTGCCTCGCTGCGGTACCCATCAGCTTAGAAGAGATTTGTCAGTGTGTTACGTGGCGCTTGCCGATGCCTCCCTGAAGCGAGGCCCGTGCATTCTGCTCCGTTCCTCCGGAGCTGCTGCAGCCTAGGCATTAACAGACAGCAGGCTCAGAAGTTACCCTGCAAGGAGAGGTACGAGGGGGTGCCTGACCAGTGTCAAAAATGGGTCCGCCCTTGCCCCCGTCAGTGGCGACAGTCAGTTACAGACTCTCAGGCCGCTGCGCAGCTCGCGGTCAGGAGAGCATCTTTTCACTCTCTGCTTCTTGTTCGGTTGGGCATGGCACACTTCCAAATAAGTCCGTTTGGAGCAGTACCCTGCTTTTTTTACTCTGACTCACTCCTATACTAAAGGAAGCTGCCAAATAATAATGGCTGAGTGGTTTCCTAGTAGGGAATACTGATTTCTGTTTGTTTGTCTTTGAACGTGTTTTTAACTATGCTGAATCCATCCAGTTGTGCACGTAACTAGATTATGTAGCCACATTATTTATCGTAACATTCCTTGCCTGTTTCCGCCAATTGTCTGTGTTTCTTCCACATGTTACATTTGTTTCAAAGTAATTACAAATTCTGTAGAGCAGGAATTAGCACAGTGGGCCTCTTGACTGAGTATTAATTCATTAAAGAATAATGATTAACAAACTCTTCTCCCCAATTATTCAGAAGTAGCTTTAATTAGATGTCTGTTGTGCTGTGACTGACACTCTCCACAGGCACCACTTTAAATGATGATGCATTTAGTTACAGTTTTGAGCACTGTAGAAGATAAACTTTTGCAGTCAAGTCGTATGTGACTACTTTTTTTCTTTTCTTTAGTTAAAGTAAATAAATATGGAGATACCTGGGATGAGTGAGAGATGAATGAAGAACCGAAGAAAATTATCTCCTGTCAGCTAACTTGAACTTCATCTAGATTAGTCATGAGTATCGGCACCTTTGGTGTGTTCTGCCAGGCACCGCTATTAATAAATGGAGGGAAAATCCTGACTTGCCAGAAGATTAAAAACAAAGTATTTAGGCTTAATTTTTTTTAATTTTTCATAAATGGCAGGCGAAGCTATTGTGAGGTGTCATGACTGTAAACCATTTGTGCTATTGTTTAAGAATGAAAAAGGTAACTGGCAATAACTGAAATAAATGTATAGCAAAAGGTGAAAATATGTCTAAATAAATGCAATCACATGTATTGGGAAGGGAAAAATACCAGAATCTTCTCAAATTTTCAGGACTCGCATTAAAAGTTACCTGTGGAACTTGCCTCTTGCTTTGTTTTGTCTGAAAGGGATATGCTGGAAGCCTCAAGTTGTTATCCTGCTTGGTTAGTAATGTCTGGAATAATACCGAACTGTTCAGGGAGAAAGGGCTGAGGAACCTCACCAAACACATAGGTAAGCACACTTAACTGGTTTTCAAAACTGTTCCACGGTGCCAGCTATATTTTTAGACCGATATTCTGACTTGCCCACACTGGGTCTCTTCAGACAGTTATTTCAGAAGAAAATGATTGAATGAAACTGCAGCTATTTAAAATAGCTACATTTACATGCAGGAGCCTGGTAAAACTTTGGTAATGGTATCTTGACTGTTAAATACTTAGTTTTGTGTATTTAGCCTTAGTTCTCAATTTGTGTGTGTCATGACCAAAACCACCCCTATTTCTGGAGAAAAGCTTCTGATCTATGATCATTACCTGTAAGAAAAGGGCTGCATTGGCAGAACTACTGATGAGGATGTCCTAACGTTCACACCGCCTGCTCTATCTCAATCAAAATGTTGTCATCTGCTGGGGATTCTCCTATGCTCACCTGCGCTGGTTCATCTCGCAGCACTGCCTGTATTTGGGGGTTTTGGCTATAGGGGAGCAAAAACCATGATGAAGGCGATAGCATAAAAGCATTCCTGACACCCTTGTTGGAGATGAAAAATAACTTACTTACCAAGACAGAAGTTCTCAAAGACTATTGATTCAGTGGACTAGCAGCAGAGCAGCAGGAAAAAGGAATGAGAAGATTATTTTGGGGAGGTACACAGCAATCAGCTGAAATGAGGAGGAAAAAGGCGGGGGGGAAGATGAGGGTGCTTAAAGAGCCAAATACTACTTAGAACAATCAAACCAGGAAGGTTGCTTTCAGAAAAGCTGATCTAAAAAAAAAAAAAAAAAAAGGTGCTAATCAGATAATCTTGAATTTATATCAAAAATTTAACTTACTGAGTGCTGCTTGTGGCTGTGATGAGACAGCCCTGAAAACACACAAAGTCTGCCAGAAATACATTGCTGGGGTTCTTAGTGCACTGTGCCAAAGCTCATTAGATTTATCGTGAAAACCCTCACAAAGTTTCTTAGCTGCGAGTTACACAAGTAACCGGAGGCAGAAGGTTTAGATGATAAAACTGGAGCAGATTCTTATGGTGGTGGTTTTCCATTGGTAAAAAGAAGAAATGCTTGTTCTTTTGAATGAATGGAAATTTTGGATGAACGAGAAGTCTCCAAGTGAGAAAACACAGGAGCAGGCTTATGGCATTGAGGAAATAGCAGTACCTGAGACACAAACTATTGAACAATAAGCTTGCCAATAAAAACATTTCTTTTTTATTTGGGGAGATTTGGGATAATGCTGGCTTTTTTCAAGTGAAAGGATATAAGGATACAGTAATTTTTGTTTTTCTCAGGAATCTTAATGCTTGCTTATACTGCTGGTTGTTTATTTGTGTAAGGGAATGATCATCTCTGCGTTGACTGTATGTGTTAAGGTAAATACCTCTGCAGCATGGGCTCCCCAATGAAGAGCAAGACTCCCTCCACTTCTCAGCATTCACTGTGAAAGCTGCTGTTGTGCCATTAAAATTACTTACGTGTGGTCAAGTATTTAACAACACGCTGGACCCCTGGGCCCAGTTGTGGGCCTTATGCCCTGTTTCTGGCCATTCTCCGGTTCTCAGTCTCGGGCTGTTTGCTGCGCCGCGCGCGTGGTCACGGGTGCGTCCGCGCTGCTGTACGTGTCTTGTCTCGCTGCGTGCTTCCCGTTCCTTGCGTGTCCGTCTGCCTGACAGGGCGCTGCCTGGGACCCGGCTCGTGCAGCACAGGCACCGAGGGCAGAGTATGTCACCCTGGGCCATTGAAATGCTGCCTCTTTCAGACCGAGCTCCCGTAAACCACAGTGTTTGCAGAATGCTCCTTTTGTACGCTGGTAACTGATAATGAGCAGTTAATACAATTATCACATTTGATAGGATTATCAGAAGCCCGTGACCTGAAAATGAAGCACGGTCTTTTTATATAAAATGTATTATTTTGTTTTTCCTTTCTTAGAGGAGAAAATAAAAGGCACATATCATATATAACTGATGTTGTTTTAAAGGTTTAATGTCTCTGCTTACAGTAACATTGTATATACATAAGATTTCTAAATCGAACCTAGTGTTTTCATCCTGTTGCATCTAGTTAATACCTCTCAGATCGCACACTTTTTTTGTACTTGGGAACGAGCTGGGTTTACCATCAAACAGTTTAAAATTCTTTGGCTTTCCATCACATCCTTAATGAGTATTAAACACAGGAGAGTTCACAGTCACAGCTGCTGATGTAATAGGGTATTGGAAACTGGTGTTTTGTCAAAGTTGGGTCATGTTTGGTTTGCTGTGGCGATGTCTGCGTTGAACCCCTGATTCACTGAATAGCTGTGGGAATTCAGTCTTGTTCCTTCCCTTTTGGGGGATTTTTAACTGAATCCAAGTGCCTTACAGCTGACAGCAGGGTTACTGTCACGGAAAACAATGTGTCTAGATACAAAGAACGAGTAAGAATGGTGAACGTGTGAAGAAAGCATGACAGATCCTCTTGTTTTATCTCTATGTGTATTTCCAGCTAATACACACCGTAGTTTTCTTAATTCATTAACCAGGCCAACTGTTTCCCTGGAATATAGATCCCTCACTACTCTTTAAAAATCATAGTAAGAATTTCACTTCGCATTACTGTTTGTATTTCCAGTCGTGTATGTTTACAGTCGACCTAAGCACAAAAACAATGTCATTAAAAAAGACTTGAAGTTGTCCTATGGGCCATCATACCCATATGCACGTTAATAAATGGGAATTAACCCAGTATTTATTGTAAAGCTAAGTACATTTTATTTTATTCCTCTAAATAAATTTTAACTACATTAAAAAATTAGCTCTTATACCTTAAATCAAACACCAGGAAATGAGTCTGAATGCTTCACTATGAACATTTCTAAAAAGCACTTTTAAAGTAACTGCTTAAAAAAAGGTCCTTAAAACTTTGAAAACAAGCAGTTGCATGGCCAGTTTAAAGGAGCTGGTAGCATTATTCTCGAGTCAGTTGTTACTGATGTGTGTGAACACAGAGAAGCGGGTGGTGAAAATGTGCCTCGGATCTTTAACAGCTGGTAAAGCTCTACCAAAAATTCTGGTCCTGAATGTTTCTGTCTTTCCCGAAATTAGCAGGTGTGTTTAGAGTCCCAAGTAAGCCCACTATCTGACTTTTCCAGGGGTTTGTTCCTGCTAAAGTCGTTTGGAACACACCTACATGAAAGAGAAAAGTGTAAATGAAAAGTATTTTGATTAGCTTAAGGAAAGTTAAGCAAATTTGTGGACACCTGGGGAAATAATACGTAATATTCCAGACTGAACCCACAGATTTCTTGCCTCCTTGAGATTCATGAAGAGATCCTGACTTGTCCACGATTTGCTGGAAGCTAGAAGACTTGTTTGTTTCCCCCATACTGGACTGTTTGTTTGGTGGCCCTTAGCAAGGAGCTCGGTCAACCCGCACACGCTGCAGGATGCACGTCCAGCTCAGTTCCCCGGCTGTTAGGCGTGCGCCAACCTTTTCACAGTAAGGCTTTGCTTGCAACCCTGTCTTTCTGACTTGCCACCAGAATAAGTTCTCTCTGTAGTCTCTTAAGTGAGACAATAGCACTATAAATATCCCTTTGCTTTTTGCAGTTTGGTCACCTATTAAGTTGTTCAGAGAAATCAACAAATTGTGTTTGGATTGTAATCTCAAGGCAATAAATAGGACAATTTGCATCTCGTTACTATTTCAGGCTCTTGCCTCGTGTCTGTTCACATGGGTTTGCACCAGCTCAGCTAAGCTAATGCAGGTTTGGACACAGACACACCTTGAGTTTATACATTAAGTATTTTCTTTACTAATGTAAGAACTGCACATAAACCACCAGCACCAGACAAATTTTTGAGGCATCTTTGAGTTCCTGCATTAAAACCTGAACCAGGGAATACCAGGGAGTCTTACACATGAATAACCTTGACCAAGGCACAGATTTCCAGGTCATGAGACCATCAAGTGAATTATTCTTTGCAAATAATGAGGAAAATAAGACAACTAGTATTTTTATTTAACCAAAGTCAAGCAATATAGCAAAGCCAGAAATGCCTAACTGTTCCGGTTATAAGATATGATGACAATTAAAGGGATTCTGGGATCTAACAGCTATTGAGAGCGTGGCTGGAGAGTAGATGATAATCCCCTGGCAACATAATTTGTATGCATTTACTTCAGATAAATGAAAACAGTATAATTCTTAAAGAATCGGACATTAACAGCCATGATTTAAAGCACTTGCTTCTGTTTGTTGTCTTTAATGCTAATGAATACCAGTTACTATGCTACGTATCTATTGCTGGTTTAATACTTACCACTTGTTCAGTGGGTTTGTTTTGTGATTGAGCAATTCAGAATTTCCTGAGATCCTAAGATATATGACAGTACACAGTAATACATAGTTTCAACGTGCAGCCATAAGGTCCTCTGTTTGGCAGAAGCATCGCTTTGCAAAACCAAAAAGCAGGAGTCTTCTATGAGGTACTTTCATAATGTGGCGCTGCAGTAAACAAAAAAGGATGTATGATAAAGAGATTGCACAATCATCTGATGCAAAGGATTTTCAACCACACACAACTTTCACTTATCCTTGAAACGAGAAAAAATCTTAAGATGAAAGAGAAATGGAGAATTTGATAGATTTCCTTTGCCAAGACTCAAATTATTCAGGATTAAAAAATCCATAGTGTATAACCTTTGTGGTCATGCTTTTCCAGTTGCTCAGTGATGAGGTAGGACTGCATTTTCAGGATATGCAATCTTGGCATGAACTGCTTCCAAACCAAAAAATTTTCAATTCATTCCATACATGGAATGCTATACATTCATTTCTACTCTCTCTAATCCCCAATAGGAGGATATTTCTAGTGCATGAGATTTCATTTTTT